GGAGAGCTCCTTGCAGAACACCCCGCATCATGTCCCTTGTCGGAATATGAGCAGAGCTTGTCGAGTAGCCTCAGTGGTACAGTGATCTAAATTTTGCGGAATGCAGCTGAAGGAGGAAAGAATTTAGGCGTGTCCTTGTTAAACCCAGCTTTCCTGAGCCTTAGAGCACACCTACCGGCAATGTCCACAGGTGCTATGTTTAAAATAGCATTAAGAGCTAACGTTGGTGAGGTCCGCAGTAGACGGTGAAATTTGCCCTTAACCATAACAACCACATCATCAGCATAGGATGTCTCCTCGAGTTCTATAAGTAGATAGTATATCACCATGATCCAGAGCAGTGGAGAGACTGCCTCTGGTCACACCGAAGGCTCCTTCGATGTTGAGAAAAGTACTCACAGCAAATTCCTTATGCTTGCGAGCTATCTCCAGCCATGACACTACATCATACAAAGCAGTGTCGATCGACCTGCCCTTGATATAGGAATGCTGCGCCCGTAACAGTTTACCCCTCGGTATTCTGCTCCTAATACAGATCCATAAGTCTCTCCAACATTTCCAACAGAAACGAGGATAGGCTGATGGATCTGAAATATTTTGCACCGACGTGAGAGCTTTTACCGGCCTTCGAAATAAACGTACCTTAACCTGTCTCCAGGCTTTCGGGACATGGCCCAATCTAAGACAGCTCGCATAGTTGGGGGCCAGGCAGCTGCTTGACATCTTCACCGTACGCTGTAGTTGCGCCGGTATAATAGCATCAGGCCTCGGGGACTTGAAAAGTTTGAAAGATTTCACCGCCCAGGTAAGGTGACGATCATGCAGAAGGTCCAAGAAGGCTGTACAGCCCTCCTTAAGCTCCCCCAGTGGCACTTCTTCATAAGAGTGATTTAGCGGAAAATGAGCATCCAGGAGTAGCTTCACCCAATTCTTCGCTGCTCGTTGTCCAACTACTATCTGCATTTCCCAGATACCCCAATGGAGGAGGAATTTTTGCAAGAACGCGCCTGAACGGTGAGGACTCATGACAACCGACAACCTCTACACCACCGCAGAAAGCTCTCCACGAGGCTCTCTTGACTTTCTTAAACTTGGACTTGTAAATGGCCAGTTCAGTCTTGTACAATGCCCAGTCGTCACTAGAACCACTTTTACTTGCTTTGTTGAAAAGTCTTCTGCTCAAAGATCTGATATCCGTTAGCTCCGAAGTCCGCCAACTAGGTTTCACTTTGGTTTTCTGAGTTCTCAGTGGACAGGAACTTTCAAGAGTAGTTCTACTAACAGAGCTGAAAGCCTCGACGAATCCCTGTCGGGTGCTGTTGGAAGATCTGATCGAAGCTTCCTGCAGTACAGAACCCTCCATTCCGAAATAAAGGGAGCAGTTTCCCTTATTGCATATAGAAAGGTCTACACTGCAAATAAAATCAAAAAGTGACTCACCTTTTGCGTTGATGTCTGAGCTTCCCCAGAATGTGTGCCTTTAGTTGGCATCGGAGCCTATTAAGACTGCGGTGCCTTTGCGCCAGGCCTCTGCCAGAGCCCTCCTCAACAGGTCCGGAGGTGGCTCCACCTAGTCGTCGTGCGGCATTTAGGCTGAGACAAGCCAGAGTTCTCCAGCACTGTCCTCCAGCCTAGCAGTGACGACATCCTCGATACTGAAATTAGGCAAAAGAAAAACGTTAAGTTCGTTTCTGATCAATAAGCAAGCTCTGGTTCCACCTGTACTGCTTGCCGCTTATGGCTTTTTGTCCTTAGACCAGAGGTACCGTTGCTGCTCAGCCACGGTTCATGGATAAGGACAACGTCGGCTTCGTCCCGTCCTAGACGAAGCAATAGATTGGCGGAGGCCGCCTTTGAGAGCTGGAGGTTAATTTAGAGGATCCTTATCCTCCAAATTCCTCTCCCGTAGTGCGAGTTACGCACCATCGTCCGTACTATCGACCCCAACCTTCTCGATCAGGCGCTCGAGACAAACTGAAGATCCGCCCCCCGTGCGCACCACATCCGAGAGGATAGGGTCGATGTCCATTTTCGCGTGGGTCACTCTCCCACTCTCTTCCACCCCTGCTGCAGGCCATCCACCCTGGCTTCTGTTGGGAGTATGCTAAGAACGGCACTCTCAAAGCCATAGCTTGAGAGGAGCGAGGGACTCCTTGTTTGGGATTATCAGCGCGTGCCGATATGGTTCCTTGGTTCTCTCTGGTCTTACCACCCTTCAGTCTTGGGTAGAAAGAGATGTATTGCAGTATCGCATAATCTCTTCAATTTCAGTCGGGGTAGAGGGTTCAACCGGAAGCCAGACACGAGCCCGAAATCGCAATGGGAGATCCGATTTGGCCACCGGCTTAAGCCTTGCTCCCTTTCAAACTTCCCTACCTTGGCTACCGCTTCCTTATAAAGGAATCCCGACGGTTCGTCGGCACATCTTATAAGTTTGTGTATGCCGAGGTTCCACCCTGCACTTTCACACCTAGTTGGTCCAGGGCTGCTCCCCGCCCCGATATGATATAATAACTCCAAAAAAGGCCAACAACATGTTTTTTGGCTCTAGTCTTAGTACAACTCCTTTTTACCTATACTTTACATTATATAATACGAGTTTTCATTGTGCCTAAATGGTTAATAAAATCTGTATTTTACTTCACTTTCTATTATACCAACACCAATTGAAAAAAGAGTGTATATGTGTATTTGAATAGAGCAACAACATCGTTGGAAGCAAATTCGCGTAAAGATTTTATTTTCTACTCCTCTGCGGACACAAGACCAATCATGACGGCGTCATAACTTTGTCTAAACAACGCAGAAAGCGGAAAAAAAACACAAGTAAGGAAGGAAATTCGTAGAAGCCTAACATGTTTCATGGCGCTTATTGGAAGCATTAAAACACTTAAATTCATCCCTTTCCTCCCTGACGACAGACAGTTTTAACGGTTTCAATTTGAAACCAGCCTAACGCTAGACCACTATCTGCATCTGTCTCTAAAACGGCAGTTAAGCGAGCGCAAGCATAGAAGGATCTGACAATAAATGCTACGCCATCCGTTTAGGCGGCGAAGCAGACGGACTGTTGCGTTTGGCTCAGGCAAGGGTTTGTTTGTAATTTGCTTATCTTGATTGGCGATAAAAGATGAATGAGCATGTGACGCGCAAATTCTTTTACTGCCTCCAGCGCGGTGCACCTATCGCGCTTCGCATCTGTGCAAGCGGCCAGGAAGGTGAGTTTCCGTTCCATATGTATGTATGAGCGAGTAGGCCAGACTGGCTGGCAGAATGTGCAAACAGCTTGCTGGCATCTTCATCTTTTAGTTGTTCGTGTTTGTTCCTTAAATCTCTTCTTCCCGTTTTGCTAATCGATTGTAAGAGCAATGTGTAAACATAACAAGGATAACGACTTGCGATAATGCCATAACGATACGCTCATATCGGGCCGGCCCTTCGAATGCCCGAATATAAAGTAAATAAATTTATGGACAATGCAATGAACGATAGCTTTATTTACACAAGTTTGCTGGTTATGACTTTGGTGGCCAGCCATGGTGGTAGAAGTAGACTCAGTGGCTAAATTGGTGGAGAGGTAAAGTTGTCTTTGCAAAATATATCAGAGTAAAGTGGCCTTTATCCATTTATGGTGCATTAATTTCGATGAAATCTTAGAGGGTATGTTATTTCTTTTGATGACGGTTGATTTTACGAACGAAATCTTACGTTTTTTTTATCAAGCGGATTAATTTATAAATTCGCAGACTTATGAGTTAGTGATTGCGATTTCATTTAATTTTTTATGGCTGTTAATACAAATGGAAATAATTCAGATTATGAGGTGTTAATTTGATTACCTAATGGTATGTATATATAAATGATCAGGATGAGGATTCGAGTTGAAATCCGGATGCCTGTCTGTCCGTCCGTATGTCCGTTCAAGCTGTAACTTGAGTAAAAACTAATATATCGTAATGAAATTTGCTACTCGTATTCCTTGGTAAAAACGTGAGGACCAGTTCGTAGATGGGCGTAATTAGACCACTGCCACGCTCACAAAACGCCATTAAATAAAAACCTATAAAGTGCCATAAATCAGCACTAAACTAAGATACTAAACTGTAATTTGACACAGTGGACTAAAAATTAAAAAAAAATTATCGTGTCCCCGCTCTATAAATGTTTTAATGTACATATTTCCTAAACCACTTAAGATACAATAACCGAATCCGCTCAAGATAAATCCCTTAAGCACTGCTACCCTGGGCGATCGGTTGGTAACTCGGCCTTCTCCTCATATAACGGATCTGTTAAAAACTAGTAAAAGCGCGATAAATCAATAAATAAATACGCCATAGAAATTATATTTTACACTCGATGTGGTACGAGATGACTTTGTAGGAGCCGGGGTCAAAATGAGACGAAAGGCGTGGCACATTACACATTTAGGCGAAAACCAATATCTCAGAGCTTACTCGACCAATATTACCAAATTTAGTATATAATAATATCTTGATATTCCTATTTTCCAGTGTAAAAATGTACGAATTTGGACTACAACCATGCCTGCTTCCCATTTAACACAATTTTAAGTTTTATCTTATTATTTCACTTTCCAGTATGCAAATCCAGCACCAAAGAATATATTAGGATCAAATTTTGCCCAAATAATGCGCTTGAAGTAGGCCTCCTTATGACTAAAAATGTTCAAAAACGGAATATAAATTTTCAAGTACCCAGATATGAATATGTGAAATTTTGTGGTTTACCACTGAATATGAATGGAATTGGTCTAGACCTTGGTCTAAACCTCATATCCCTAATATAAAGTATTTAGAGGTGACGTTTTCCACATCAACTCAATATATTAAATTTAGACTCTTTGGTTTATATCACATATTTATCAACTAATATAATTTTCCTTGACGCGATTAAAATATATTAATAAAACTAAGTGAGTACAAGACCATCAATATAAGCTAATATGATACCAAATTTGATTATTTTCCACTCACCAGACTAGTTGAAATTCGGGTGATTGTCTGTCTGTCTGTCCGAGCAAGCGATAACTAAATGAAACTTAGTACACATATTTCTGGGCGCTGCAAGATGGTATGTATCATAGATGGGCGTAATCGGATCGCTGTCACGCCCACAAAACGCCATTAATGGTAAGTCTATAAATTGCCATGACTAAGCCGCAATTTGAGATACAAAACCGTATTTTGGAACAGCAGAGGGGCACATGTGGCTTGAAATTTGTTTAAAATAGTGCGAAAATTGTCGGAATCGGACAGTAAACACGCCTACTTCCCATTCAACATAACTTTTAATTCCATCAGATCAATCAAGCACTATACGAGGACAGAAATCTTTTTGCAGAAAATATCGTTTAATTGGTAAGTATAATATTACACCCTTGTGTCAAAAATGAGTAAAATAGGATCAATACCCTTAGCCCCATATAACTGAAATTAACGAGTTTGAAACGTCCGGCTGACTTTTCTCCATATACCTGTACAGGTTAAATTTATAAAATTGCTTGAAAATAACCTAAGCAATGTCAAAATTTAATGCAATCAGCCCTTTCTTCTATGCCCCCAATGATTTTAGTATAATTTTCGCTGACGGGAAGTAAACTATAGTAACAAAACTAAGTGAGTCTACGACCTTCAAAATAAGTTAATATGATACCAAGTTTGATTGTGATCCATTCACCATTTCATAGAATAATTAAGTTGCACCTTTTCGCTACATTTCCTGTAGTTATAAAGTTTTGCCTTGCTTCCAAAACATACAATAAAGTAAGGGTATAAAATTGGCCGCCTTTGACGGGAGCACAATCGAAGAACCCCTGTGATACAAGCAGCACTCAAGACTCCACCGGTGTCCTGCCTATTATCTCTGCGAATCAACTCAGAATATACAACAGTACTAGAAATCAGGCAGGCAAACCAGGTAGTGAGACTAAGCTGCCAGAGGATAGGTTAAAATTGGAGAAACTAAAAAATAGATGTTGTCGAGATGTTTCAAATTGCTGTGACATTAAATATAATATAGTTCAAAAGTAACTAAACATAGTGGGTGAAATAGTAGTTATGCGCATGCATTCCTCAGGGGAATACCGACGAGATGCTCATCGAATTTTATTTACTTAATATTTTCGAAGCGTTCTTGACTTATACATACATATGTATGTATGTATGTACAATATATAGACATACATTGAATATATACCGGATATATGGTATGTATATTCGCCACTGCTTTGCCGCCTCGTTCTATAGGCATATACAGTTATACATAATTAAATATGTGAGTACCAAGTCTTTTCCGTATCCTTTAGAAGTAATTTTTATGCTTACTTGCAACTTTGTTGTTGTATTTTCAAACTCTGACACCCATGAACGTAAACATTTAGATACATTGTTGATTAAATTTTCGGTTATTTCTGCTGCTGTCACACAATCGTACAATCACACACTTAACACCACATCCCGTCCACCTATTTGCCCAATTTTACGTCGCTCTCCATGCATGTTGGCTCGTTCTACTGCTCACCTTCTGTGTGGCTCTGGTTATCCCGTATATCCCATCCCATATGTATCTTGTGTCGCCTCTATTATTACTCTATTGTTGTTGTTGACATCGGTCTTTCTTTTGTTGCTGAAATTTGTTGTTTACTTACAAGCACAATTTGATTTGCGAGAATTGCTGACCTGTTCCTCAAGCCTAGCATCTATTCACTATAACGAACAACAGCAGCAGCAACAACAACAATATCAAGCAGTACCGCGAAGGATGCACTCGTTTGTCCGTGTGTTTGTAATGTTTTTAAGGACAATAAGCGTTGTGTCAGAACCAAACCACCAAATGATTCATGCAATAAAATGTTGACGGTCGAAGAAAAGAAAAACAAATAAAATTGAGAAATTGCTGTACAGTATTAGACAGTTTTCTACGCAGAACACCGTAAAGATTTAGCAGCGTCACAATTTTGAGCACGTGTAGGTGATGTATACCAACTGGAATTGTATTTTGTACAATAATGTGAGATTATAAAATGATTTAAAAAACTAAGATTATATTCTAATTGTGAGTGGCTAAATTATTAAAGTGGTTGAATATGATCAAATTTTTCATATCATTTGTTCGTAATTCCATGTTTTGAGAAAATCGAGATTAAAGTTCCACAAATATGCACACTTCAAAAATATTTTTCGAATCTTTAAAAAAAAATGTTCACAACAATCAAATATATATATTTACTTTAAGAAACTGCAAAAAAAACCTTAAGAGTCTCGTTTTTTTTAATTCTTTAAAAATTATACCATAGAAGATTTAGTAAAATTAACTTTAGTGATTTCCGACCGCAAAGCCATTATAACACCTTTGCCAGATCCAGTCATATTCGACATATTGCAGTTTTGATGTTTTTGTTCTACTCTCTAATAACGCTTAAGAAGAACTTAACCCAACGGTAAAAATAGAATACCATGTACGAAGAAAAAATATCCAAACAGATTAAAACCTTTTTACATTAATCGTGCCGATTCAAAGTTTTCATACGAAACCTTCTTCTGTATTCATTTGACTTAACTACTTGATTAAATTTTGACGGAACATTTTTATATTCTCGTAACAAGTTAGAGAATATTTAATAAAAAAAAATTGCGAGTACTTGAAAATATACCTCCGGCTTCGATCTTTATTAGTTGCGAAGTAATATAATTTTGATTAAAAAGGTCCTATTCAATCAACACCTTAATATTTCTTATGGGGCATTTATCCACCTACCTATATACGTATGTATATTAGTTTGGCAACAAACTTCTTTTGAAAACAAGTAAGGTAAGTTGTTGCAGCCTTAGATCCTTAGAACCATACTTACGTTTATAAATTCATTAAAATGCTTAAACTTGCTTAAACATCAATATACATACACACATTTTTTTCTCATATACCATATATGGGTATATGTGTGTGTACAAGAACTGTGTGCGCTCCTGTATATGCAGGTAGACAATGATGATGTCTTCATAGATTTAGTTGTGGATAACATGAATTCAATTACTGCGTAATCACATTTCATTCATTCTACTCACAATTACAACAATAACAGTTTATAACAGGAATGTAGCAGAAAAAGCGCAGCAATTGAATTATGTATGTAGACGAAATAGAAAAAGAAAAAAGAAGACGTCACGAAATTTCTAACTGTCCCGCCTAGTCCACTGCACAATACACTGATACTCATACAAGTACCCGCTTATGCCCAGACCCCAACAACGATAAATAATTTTGATTGGAGAATTGGAGTGATGCTCGTGTGAGCTTTATACACTTTTAACGTGTTGTTACAGAGTTCTATAGTTTTGTTAAATAATTTGGTAAAGAACATTAGAATATAGAAGAGCATCTCTGGTTTGATAATTATGTAAAAATGGGCGTAGCCCCGCCCGTTAATAAGTTTAATATATATGTGTATAATATTATATATATATAACAAACTACTAAAGCTGAATCAACCAAATTTGCTGAGTACAAGTCTTTCTAGCTCAGTCTCATATGAGCCCTGCGAATATAAAGGTTATGTTTGAAACTACTAAAAGTGCGATATATCATTAAATAAATACTTCCAACGTTTTAAATTTCACAGACAAAATGGTGCTTTATTGCTTCAAAGGAATCAGTCCAAAATTTTATAATAGGCGTGGCACCGCCTACATTTAGATAAAATTCTATATCTCTATCAAAACAAACAACTACGCATATTTCCCACCTATCACATTTTTAAATTCCATGTGATTCTTTCACATTATCTTTATTAAATTTAAAAAGCGTATTTTTCTGACAATAGGGTTCGTAAAATGGGTAAAATTAGAATACTTTCACGATCTCCCATATATATAATTAAAAATTTTCTAACATCCGATTGACGTTGCACCATATATAGCGGTCAATCTGTGAGGTATCTTAAAAAAATTAGGTGAACATATAATATCGGCTATACTATAGTTTAATACCGAAAACGTATGAAATGAAATATGAATTACACCAGCTCTATATACTACTTATACTAATAATGATTTTTGTTATTCTAGCAGACTTTTAGCCGTAAATGTCGGTCAGTGTGTGAGTTATCTTCATAAAATTGCATTGAAACATGTTCTCGAGTACACTTGCATGATATCAAAAGTCCAAACCTGGCCCTCGCTTTAATATAACCTGTATAGTAATTTTTGACTTTCCAGCTTTCTTAAACATAATATGGGTTAGTGCTGAATATCATTGACATTTGTGTAAACCATGGCTTAAACCTCATATTTGTAATGTGGTGACTTCCGTTTATTTGTTTCGCTTTTTCCTGTTATACTCAATATATAAAATTTAACGTCTTCGGTTGTGTTTATATCGAATATATCTCATTTGAATTTTTAGGTTGATAAATATCGCGGATACGAAGCAAAATATAGTCATGAAACTAAGTGAATCTATCACTTAGTATAAATATTCAATAATAAATGTTGAACGCAACATTTTTATAAAATGTGCAGCTCCATCCGAACTTAGCTCTTCCTTACTTATATATTTAATGCATTTTCAGCAATTACGTTCAGTGATTTCTGAAAAGCTGCTGGATGTATGCTATTTCCCAACGCGTTTAGTACAATTTAGAGATGCCTCTTATTTTGTTGGAAATTGTTTATTTCACCTACAGTTTTTGCTCGAGGCTTTGAATTGACTACCGGATTTTCGCTCTTCCGGATACTCTTTTAACCTTGTTTGCTGCTCATCTTGTTTGGTGATTACTCGAAGGATGGTAAAATTTGCTTGGCAAACCAAGCATTTTAATGGGGTACAAGTTGACGCACATACATTATATGTACATATGCATGAGTGTTTTTGTCTAACGGCTCATCTCTAGACGCCTCCTTATACGGAAATGCAAAAACCTTCTTTCACTAGTTATGTGTGAATGTGTGTGTATTTGTTTAAGTAGGATTGTGAGAAGTTTTCGCGACGCTGACAGTCATTTCGTCAAGTTGCTGATCACATATTGCTTAAAGCAATTTTTCGTGAGTTGGTAATGACCACACACCACTCATGGACATTCGTCCGTATATTTGTAACTCAACCACAGCACAAGACCAGTCAATACTCTCGGAGAAAGAGGAAACACACTCATCATGATGAAATATCAGAAAATGACACATACCTGCGTGGATACTTCATTTGTATGGTTTATTGCCTCTGCTGTTTGCTGGTTAATTACATGCTTCGGCGCCCCCTTTTCAAGAGACACCCATGCTAAAGTAAAATCTCTTCAATCTATACTGACTTTGGCCAACAATGTTAGTTGTTGGTTATATACATCTGTGTTTTCAAAATATCAGCT